TTCATTTCTCCTTGGTCTTCGCGAGCATAATTGGCTACTCAATGCTCATCCATGTTTTTTAAACCAATGGAATTAAACATAATTCTATTTCAAGCTCATGACGTTACTCTAAACCGAACTACGCTTATTGGTTAATCTATTAGGTATAAAATATGATTAATTTAATGTTGGTGGTCCATTTATCATTGAATGCCGCAGTTCTAATCATACTATAGGATCTATACCAAGTTAGATTACCTATATATACTTGACAAAAAAGCTTTAAATTGTACTTAGAATGTCGTTTTGCTGGCAAATTCACGGGAAGGTTTTCATTGAATCGGCTCTTTTTTTTTCTCCCCTTGCCTTTCACAATACCAAAGCTGCAAATCAAATAGAGGTAGTTTCGATGTATCCCTCATGGTATTATATGTAGTTCTTCGTCTTAATTACAAAGTTTACTTCCTCAAGCATAAAATTCATTAGCAATAATAATTTGGAATTGCATCTATTTAATGTAAAGCATACTTGTAGTTTCTTTTTTTTTAAAAGGGGGGAGGGGGGTTGTGTGTTAAATTTTAATGAAAAGTGGTTGAGGAAACAACATTGAACCAAAAAAAAAAAAGTTATTCCTCTATTATGGTGGTTGAAATTAAACCATTTGAGAAGAAAGATCATTTCAGAGTGACTCAGAAAATATTTATTTAAAACGAATATATGCGTATGCAAAATGATTTGAATTTCTTGGATTAGGTTTTTTGTCCATATCCTTATTTATTCCACGAAGTTTTTAATTTCATTCACAAGTAAGGATATGAATATTTGACTTAGAGGGATAGAAATAAGGACAAAAAAAAAGTATAATATATAGGACAATTGCAATAGCTCGAAGTCACAAATAGTATAACGAGGCCGTAGGGAAAGCCTTACAAAATTGAATAAAGACTTATTGATGTGAGTGCAATCGAGAGACACCTATTCCGCTAGCAAAGCAATCTCAAGCAAGGCATTGGGTAAAATTTTAGTAAGGTACCCCCACCTACCTTAACCCTTAGCAAGACGCAATATTCATGGTTATTTATTTTAGATCCTAACTTTAGCCAAACTTGATTCTATGTCATAGAATCAATTTCTCTCTCATTTAAGATTTTTTTTTAATAATTTACAGGTGCCTTTTTGTTATGTCCTCTTCCTCTTTCTCCTATTATCTACTATAAATCCTATAGCTTTTTTTTTTCCAAGGAGAGGTAATTTATTATTGATCATTCAAAAAAACTTAGTCGGAGTTAGGTGGAAACCGGACTACTATTTGCAAGTAAATCCTACAACATTTAGAAAGTTAAAATAATGAAAGAATTATATGAGTTGTTTCAAATAAATATTTAACTAATTGATTTGTACGATTAATACTTAATTAAATGAATAGTACTAATTGAGTTTATGTACAAATTTAAATTTAGAGTCGGCAAACTTGTAAGTACTTACTTGTTATCCCTATTTAATCCTTTTAAATGTGTTTTCAAGGAAATTTATTCAATCCAATTTCATTTTTCTCTGTTTTATTTTGACTATTTTACAATGTTGATTTTTATTTTTAGTGGTTAATACTATTATGTTATTGATCATTTAATAGATTATATATTTATATATATATAAAGGAATAGTATATGAATAAAGTTGAGGTAAAATCATGAATGAAAAGTGTTGCATGTGGGAGAGATATGGTAAAATTTTCTAAGATTCGGACACAAGGGAGAGGGAGATGATATGCACATGTGGGCTACGCCAATGCTTTATCCTGGGTTATGACACGACATGGAATTGACTCTCACTATCCTAAATTAGATGCATCGGAAGAATATGATACCTAATTCTTGGATGATAAGACTTGTGGCAGCCCCCACAAAGCAAGAACAGAAGCTAGCTCAAACTTAGCTGATCCTTTCCCTTTCTCAAACCCCTTTCTAGTTTGCGTAATTAGCAGGTAAGATCAGTTGATTATCTGCCTAATCATTGTCGTAAGCAACAAAAACCCAAGTCATATATCACAAGATCTTGTTCTTGGGGACACAGGAATTGAATCCGAAAAGATGCTTTGTTGCCTTTTTTTCCAAGATTAGCTATTCGGGAGTAAACGAAACAGAACAAACAAAATGGCCCATTTGCTTGACCAAAACCTAACTAAGTCTACCATAATCATCAACATGATCCAAAGCGACAAGTGGTGCCGTATTTTCTTTACCAGAAACTTCCCAAAATTATTGAACCCAAGAGGGAGAAGAGAGAGGGTTGGTCCCTATAAAGTTGAGAGGGGGAGGCAAGTAGCGTCCAGGACAAGCACTAGGGTTTCCGACAATAGGCATGCATATAGGGTTTGTGAACTATGGGTTTTTTTGGCGTAGGACTGATCGTCTTCAGCGGCATGCGAATCTACTAGGGTAGCCTTCTTGGCTTTCCCTGGCTGTGTGGTTCGCTTGCAGCTTGTGCTGCAAAATTTTGTGGTCCAAAGCTTGGGTTTTGTTCTATCAGGATATGGCTTACTGTTTGTGATTTTCCATGCCGAAAAAGATATGTACCGGCCTGCTGTTGCATGTAAAGCGAACGCTTATTGCATGCATTGCAGGCTACAACCACTGAAACATTGCCATAAGAATTTGATTATCAAAGGCTGGTCGCCCATTGCTCTTCCAGTTTTAGCTTAATTTAATGAATATGATTATATTCTCACAATGTGACTCCTTTCATTGAAGCAATATAGCCACAAGAGCGAAAAGAAAGGAAAAAAAATGTATATATAATACTCTTGCTTTTATGAACTATATATATTTAGTGCAAACTCAATTTCTTTATAATTAAAGAATTTTTTTAATTAATTTTCATATATTTTATTAAGCTAATTAAAGTAATGGATATTTTCATTAATTTCTAGCAGTAGAGAGGATCTTACTCCAAATTGGCACCCGTGACAAAATAACATTAAAGCTTATCGTCAATAGGCCAATAAAGTTTATAATGATTTTGTTTTTGTTTTTTTTTAAATGTAACGAGAATCATTCGCTTGCCAACTTGGACCCTACAATAGGTGTTTTTTAGGCCCATATGTCCACATTTATTTGGGTCATAAGAAAAGATTCTATTCCTTTATTTAAGAGAATTCTTTGTTTTTTTTTTCCCTTAATTCCCTTAAAAGGGATGGCGCCAATTGACCGCGGGTGACTAATAGGCCACCGTCCGATCCTCGAGCGGTGAAGATCAAGGGACCGCATTTTAGACGTGGAAGAAACCCGATCGAAACGACATCGTTAAGTCATTTCTATTTTCCTTACCGTCCACCAAAAGTAAAAGCGCGTGAAAACGACGGCAAAGAAACGCTATATGCGGAAAGAAAATAGAAGGAAGAGACAGAAACGAACAAGCAAACATCACATGTCGTGAGACGCCTGAGGATCGATCTCCGGCGAATTATCTCCGGCTACGATACTTCCTGTGCATGAATCTCACATTTTATATGTAGATTTGATTTTTGTATATTCATAATTACAATTCTAAAGAAATTCTTAGATTTATAATAATAATAATGGGAGAGGGAAGACAGCGTCCGACGATGGATCTGCTGCGGTCGGAGCCAATGCAATTGGTGCAACTCATCATTCCTATTGAATCAGCTCATCGTAGCATCTCTTATCTCGGTGATCTCGGCCTCTTTCAATTCAAAGACGTTAGTTCTCTCGATTTCTTGATCTTTTTTTTTTTAATTTTGAATTTTTGAGATATCATTGAAAAATCTATAGATTTAATATGTTTGATATTTACCTGATTTTCTTTTCATATTTTTCTTGCAGCTCAATTCGGAGAAGAGCCCGTTCCAACGAACATACGCTACCCAGGTCCTTTAGATTCACAATTTTGATTTCTGGTTGAAGTTTGTATTATCCATGAAATTCTGGTTCCAAATGGGCGTTTTGAAGCCTAATTTCAAATTCTCATCTTATAAAACGTATGTATTTGAAAGTAACACATACATTTGTGGAAATCAGTGGAATGTTTGATGAGAATCTCTGCCTGGATACCGATTCAGCATGATCTCATAAAATTTTCCGAATACTTGGAGATATATGCAAAATTTTTGGGTTAATTTTTTAAATTTGTGGTACTTTAATGTGTTATTGTATGATGCAGATCAAGAGATGTGGGGAAATGGCACGCAAGTTACGTTTCTTTAAGGAACAGATGACAAAGGCTGGTTTATCACCCTCAACTAGATCAGCGAGGAATGATGATGTTGATTTAGATAACTTAGAGGTATAATGGATGTTTTGGATTTTAACATTTTTGTTGTCATATAGAAAAGCAACCTTATATGTGGTATTGCTAGGTGAAACTTGGAGAACTTGAAGCGGAGTTGATAGAGATGAATGCAAATCATGAGAAGTTGCAACAAAGTTACAATGAACTAAAAGAATATAAGTTAGTTATGCAGAAGGTATGTTGACATATCTTGGTTGCTTGGTTACATTTTGCTGGTTATTAAGGCAGTAGAAGTGAAAATCTTAAATTCCGTATTTCAAGATAATTGGCTTATCGCCTTTCTTTGTTACTTAAAGTAGGAGCCTTATATTTCTTAGAGCTGGAGAGTGATATCTCAAGGTACATAATGCATTTATTATAATGGTATTGTTTTTTTATTTCAGGCTGGTGAATTTTTTCAGTCAGCTCAGAGCAGTGCTGCTGCTAAGCAGAGAGAAGCTGAAGCTCAGCAAAGGGGTGAAGGATCCATTGACTGTCCATTATTATTGGAGCAAGTATAGTTTTCAGTTTATACATTTTCTATGTGAGTATCTCTGATGCCTTTAATTCTTGTTTACATGACGCCTAGGGTGTTTACATTTTGTAGGAAATGGTCACTGATCCATCTAAGCAAGTTAAGCTGGGATTTGTCAGTGGTCTTGTCTCAAGAGAAAGATCATTGACCTTTGAAAGAATTCTATTTCGTGCAACCAGAGGAAATGTCTTTTTGAAGCAATCCGTAGTTGAAGATCCTGTTACTGATCCTGCATCCGGGGAGAAGGTTAATACCTGCATTTACCATTGTAGATCTAAAATTTCTTAGAGTGGAATTCACCTGTGGTTCTTCTATTTATGCATACTTTCTCTTTAATTCTGTCTTCACTCAGAAGGTTTGTTTGTATGGCATCAATTTGCTACTGGTGTCTATCAGTTTATGTATTTCATCTCCTTTTACTCCTGCATATTGTTTCGTCAATTTTATGGTCAGAGATAAGTGATGTTTATCATTCTTATTTGCAATTACAGGTTGAGAAAAATGTGTTTATGGTCTTTTATTCTGGTGAAAGAGCAAGGAACAAAATTATGAAAATTTGTGAAGCTTTTGGAGCAAACAGATACCCATTCACAGAGGACCTAGGCAAACAATTTCAGATCATTACAGAGGTATGCTTTGTACCTTTTTTAGAATTCAGGAGAACCAGGACTCATGTTTATATGGAATTTGAAGCTTGAGGATAGTGCAAGTAGTTTTGTTGCTATAGACTCTCATTTTCTTATTATTATGATGCTCTGTAAATCATCTACTGGTCTAATCTGTATGTTTGAATATATTGGTTTTTGACTTTGTTCATTAAGAGGAGTTCTGAGTTTTGTCTGTTGGCCTGAATTGGTGTTTGGCTTTGTTTTAATTCTTGAAGAGGTCTGAAGAAGATTGTTGTCTTTGGGGAAAATAACAGAAGGCGGAGACCAATTCTAAAGTTGTGCAGAAGCAAAAAGCGAAAAGGGTAGCATTGTTGAAAGGAAATCACCTATGTCATAATGCTGAAAGATGATAATAACTTAATGATGTGCATTTATCTTGAAGTTAGTGTCATTAAAAGGTTGCATCGACCTCTTTTCATGTTTGTAAATAATTCCCAGCTGTAACACCAACCTGTCAGATGAACATTTTGTTGTTTCAGAATTTACTTGTACTTTTGCTTCATTGAATTGGTGCCTGGATGACATTTTATGCTTTTCTTGTCAAATAATGTCAAATAAAGAGCAATCTGAATTTTGTAACCTCTCTTATCTATAGGTGTCTGGAAGACTTGAAGAGCTTAAAACTACCATTGATGTAGGACTGGTGCACCGGAGCAATTTGTTACAGACAATCGCCTATCACTTTGAGAATTGGAGCCTTTTGGTTTGTTGAAGTTGACTTAATTCCTTTGTTTTGAAAAGCAAATGCTTCTATCTATGTTTTAACTTCATGTCCTTACGGTTGCATGTCGGCTTCTGTGACCAGTTTTAGCCTTTACTGAGTTCTTTTCAAGTATGTGCTTTCTTAAGTCACTGGACTTTGTTTCTTCTAATTATGTAGGTGAAGAAAGAAAAATCCATTTATCACACGTTGAATATGCTCAGCATAGATGTTTCAAGAAAATGTCTTGTTGCTGAAGGTTGGTGCCCTGTTTTTGCAACAAACCAGGTCTGTTTTTTGAACCCGTAATCATTTCTTCTCTGCTGCTTGGCATTCCTGGTTAATATTGCACTAACCACCTTGAATGTTAAAAATTTAATCATCTTAGGCTTGGTTTTGCAGATTCAAAGTGTTTTACAGAAGGCAACTATTGACAGCAGCTCACAAGTTGGGACCATATTTCATGTTCTCCAGACAAAGGAATCACCTCCTACCTATTTCCACACCAACAAATTTACTTCTGCGTTTCAAGAAATCGTGGATGCATATGGGTTAGTTATTTTGATAGTTGCTGCTATAGTATTTAAGGAGACAATGGCTCTGTTGATATTCATAATGTCTTGTCTTCGGCTATCCATGTCCTGACTGCTGATTAGCATTAAGAGATCTTTTCCTTCCTTTAGATGCTTTATTGCTATGACATCTTTACTTAAATTTTGACATGTCACTTCTTAACCAAATCGTTACGGAAGGAGCTGACCTAAATATTATTGCAGGATTGCAAAGTATCAAGAAGCGAACCCTGGTGTATTCACTATCATCACATTCCCTTTCCTTTTTGCTGTAATGTTTGGTGATTGGGGCCATGGTATATGCCTGTTTTTGGCAACATCATATTTCATAATCAGAGAAAAGAAATTTTCTAGTCAGGTAACTGGTTACTATTTTCCTGGTTATTTGGGCAGCGCACTTCATGTTCCTCATAATCATATTGTTTCTGCAACTTATTTTGTTTTATCTCATCAATAACAGAAGCTTGGAGACATCACAGAAATGATTTTTGGTGGTCGCTATGTTATTATGATGATGGCATTGTTCTCAATCTACACAGGATTGATATATAATGAATTCTTTTCAGTCCCATTTGAACTATTTGGGCCCTCTGCTTATGGATGCCGTGATCCTTCTTGCAGGTAGATATTTGTCTGTATGATAAGAGTGGATTGGCAGAAAGCTGACTTTGTTGTTGTCCTCCCTTTTGAATTATTTACTTTCATCTCTTTACATTGCAGCGATGCTTCTACTGCGGGTTTAGTAAAAGTACGTGCCTCTTATCCTTTTGGTGTGGATCCTAAGTGGCATGGTACTCGGAGTGAGTTACCATTTCTTAACTCATTGAAGATGAAGATGTCAATTTTGCTTGGAGTAGCTCAGATGAATCTTGGAATCATATTAAGCTACTTCAATGCAAAATTTTTCACTAATGAAATCAACATTTGGTGAGCCACAATGATTGATTTTGTAGAATACTGGGAAAAATGCTTATCTCAATTTCTATACTATTTCAAATATTTATGAGTGACTAACATATTGATTTAATAAATTATAACATTGTTTAGGTACCAATTTGTTCCCCAAATGATATTTTTGAACAGTCTGTTTGGATACTTGTCACTCCTCATAGTCGTGAAATGGTGCACTGGTTCTCAAGCTGATCTTTATCATGTGATGATCTATATGTTCTTGAGTCCTACAGATGAACTTGGTGAAAATCAGCTTTTCTTCGGTCAGAAGTTTCTCCAGGTTTATTTCATGTGTTGTTAACTATGTGAAAGTTTTCTTTTGTGCTATTCAACATAGACTTATCGATTTTGTGTTTCTTTGACAGATTGTGTTGCTGCTGGCAGCTCTTGTTTCTGTACCATGGATGCTGTTTCCAAAGCCTTTTCTTTTAAAGAAGCAACATCAGGAAGTATGTGGACAACACTCTCTTTTCGCTATAAATGACATGTTGGATTGTGTATATAGCCCATTGTTATATATATTTTAATTGCTTTGCATCTCTTCTTCTGAGTTGCTTGTCATGCCATTTATTATTGATGTAGAGGCACCGTGGTCAATCCTATGCACTATTAGATAGCTCCGACGATGACCCTCTGGAAACGGAATTGCACCATGGTTCTGGTAGCCATGAAGAGTTTGAGTTCAGTGAGGTCTTTGTGCACCAACTGATACATACTATTGAATTTGTGCTTGGAGCAGTGTCTAATACAGCTTCGTATCTTCGGCTATGGGCTCTAAGGTAGGTTGTAACAACTTTAAAATCATTTCTTCTCCCTTCCTTGCAAAGATTAGGCTCTTAACTGCATCTCGGTATCTTTGATTTTACATTTTACAGTCTAGCCCATTCCGAGCTGTCAAGTGTATTTTATGACAAGGTTTTACTTCTAGCCTGGGGGTGAGTATCTTTCTCTTTGACACATTTTTACTTGAATTACAAAGTATTTAAAATTTAAACAAAATTATCGTTATCATGTGAACGGTTGCAGGTTCAACAATATCATTGTTCTTATTATTGGCATATTTGTATTCATATGTGCAACGGTCGGTGTGCTACTAGTGATGGAAACCCTCAGTGCATTCTTACACGCATTGAGGCTTCACTGGGTGGAGTTTCAGAATAAGTTCTATGAGGGAGATGGTTATAAATTCCAACCATTTTCATTTGCATTAGTTAGCGAGGATGATGAATGAAAGGAAAAAAAAAAAAAAACACCCTAAGGTACGATACAAAAAATATAGTCGGATCTGAAACAAGATAGTAAGATACTGAATAGGAATTGGTGAGATTGCGTATTGGGAGTAGAAATGTTAAAGAGTAAGTGAGGAAGCAAACTGTTGGGACGACCAAGCTCGTTCACTTGCCCCCAGTTTGTCAATGTTGTAATTTGTGCAGTAGAGATTCTTTTAGAGGCACAGGTGAGATGCCAATGCCATTGTCTTTTCCACATCGGTGGTTATGAAATTTGTCTGTCAATTGTAAAACAAAATATAATTGCGACACTTGTATGTATATCATGTAACAAATTGATTCTTTTGACTCTTGTTGCTGCTACTTTTTCATGGAAGGCCGTGAGAACAACGGTGATATTTATTTATACAAGAAACCTATTTTTTTGGCCTAGCAGATAATAAATGGGAGTCACTGGTTTTCTTGTCCCTCTTTCTCTTAAATTCTCTAAGGCTTTTTTTTTTATTATTTACTGGTTAAAGAAAACCATCATCAAAACCAAGGAATGAAAGTATTCAGCCATTGGCCTAACCCAGAGATCATTCATTAGGAACATTACAAGTTCCATATAGAGTAAACCTCAAGTCTTACATCCCAGAAATCTTAATTAGTACACAACTATTTACTAATTATCTCTAGCATACGCCCCCCTAAGGGTATTCAGTTTCCAGCCAGAGCAAAATACAGAAGTCTTAACTACTGGCATAAATCTGGAAATATATGTAAGGCTACATTATCATTACTTAATATTTCCGAAGAAAATCTACTGTGACTTTGTATGCAAGGCAGCTACACTTGAGACCATAGAGTCCACTCCACAAACATTGCGACCCCTGCAGATCCTGTAATATCCCTCCTCTCCCCAAGTTTCTCCCCAGGAATTCTTGATGATCCAGTAAGGCTTCTCCTTGAAGCGGATCGGGGCGTAACCGGCAGATCCATACCCTACAAGAAGCACCCCATGATCCAAATGCCTCCCGCAAATGTATGGACATGAAACTCCTTTCATATATGTCTGCATGAAAACTGCATTGATACCCATGCAAGAACCAAAGCACACATGTTTATATTCCGTCTGCTAATCTGGACCAAAAAGTGATCTCAACACTCCAAAAGCATGGAAATTTACCTGCAAGTGGACCGTGGTTCACCAAATTTGCAGCGATTTGATCCTCATCGACGGAAATGACACTGAAATTAGAGACCGAGGCGGCAATTTTGCTCTTGTCAAATTTGCAGGCTCCGCGGTCATTCCCGGTGTAAGGGTAGTCTTCCTCTCCTCCAGTCCACCAGCCTTTAGGGTGTACTCAAAGGCAGTGGTCATGAGCCCACCATTGCACCCTGAGTCACACGCACCATATTCTTGTGGATCACACTGCAAATTACACACATTCTTATCTCAGTTGAGCTGGTTTTTTGTCAGGTAAATCAACATAAGGCATTAGTCAAAGCTACCAAGCAACACCCAGAGTTTTAAGTAAATTTTCTAGCACTGGAATTGCAACCATAGCCATGTAAATAAATTATCTTTTATGATACAAAGGAGTTGTCTTAGAGCTAACAACCACCTGTGACAGACAAGATTCACTCTCTTATTACCTTGAGCCAGCTTTCACTCTTTGTTAATGGAAAGAAAGAGGGTAAATTAAAACAAAAGAAAAGATAAATATTCACAAGCTGTAACTAAAAGTAAGAAGAAGATTGGAACCTCGTGATCACAATCAACAAGCTGCTGCTCACTCAAGCTCACAAGCTCCCCTGTCGACAGATAATGGGCTCCTTCCAGAGCTCCTGTTGTACTAAACGACCAGCATGATCCACAGGAGCCCTAATCATCGAAAAGGAAGAAATTTTGACTAATCAGTAAAAAGGATTACTCGCGTAACAAAAGACTTTAAGTTTATATATTACTTGGTCTTTAACGCCAGTAACGGCGCCGTGATCGCGCCAGTCAAAGTCGGCCGGTAGGTCGTTGGTTGGAAGGATGGGGGCCTTTTGAGCATCGGCTGGGAGCTTGAGCGGTCTCAAACCAAGGAACTGACGGCGGAACTCCGACGGGGTTAAATCGGAGAACTTTGTGACGCCGTGGACGGCGGTGGGGTCCAGGAGCTGATGACGCTTGGCCCGACGGAGGTTAGCCTTGAAGACTCCCAATCGGTAATCGTGCTCCTCCTGCGTGGCGTAGGCTTTCCCGTACTTGGATTTGAACAGCGTGAAGTGGTGCTCGGCGTTAAGGAGGTGGCCATCGGAATCTTCCCTGGCGCCGTCGGACACGACTTGACGGATCAGCGGATCGTCTTCGCTGATGACGTCAGAAACGACCGCTGCAGCAACAACGGATGAGAGGAGGAAGAGGAGGAGAACAGGGGGGAGAGAAAGGCGGTCCATTTTGGAAAGGGATAAAGGAAAGAGCTCTGCGAAGTGAAGCTTAAAGCACGGGCCACCGGGAGATATTATAGCAGTGGTTCCCATTATTGTGAGTGGTTGGCAGGATAATGGGTTTTCGACACGTGTTCTCTTTTCATTGGTGGATAATGGGTTTTGGCCATTTGACATTTTTTTAAAACAAAACTACTAATTCTTCTTGCGCCATTATTGTTTCTTAACCCATTATTTCTTAAGTGCGCACGTTTTATAGTGTCATTAGCTAAGGTTTCTAGATTAGAAGTCATGTTTTATTAAGAGGACAAAAATTATTATTTATAAATTTAAGATTAATTTTATTTTTTATTAATATAAAATTTGTAATATTTATTTTATTTTAATTGTGTCATATTTTTATTATAATTACTATTTTACTCATAAAAGAGAGAAATTCACTTAAATTCTAATATATTTTTTGACAGTCCCACCTTTGTGTGAACTCTAATATCCCTTATCACAAACTCGCACTATCTACTCAGAAAACATGAGAGAAATGCTTACAATTTACAAACTCAAGACTCATTCCACAAAATTCGTAAGAGTAATACTAATATATTTGGATAATATGGTAAATTCCACATAAGGTTGTTAGTGAAATTCAACATTGAATAATGAAAAAGCTTGTCCCACGTTTGCGTGAGACACTATTCTTTCCCCGTATAACTTTTTTCTCCATTTTGAATCCCAATTCAAAGTTTACATTTTTTTGTCTAATTTCTAAATAATTTGTATCGATACCATCGAAATATTTTGTCCTTTTTTTTTCCCACAATTTCTAAATATTCTTCACTTTTTTTTTTTTTAATGAGGATACGGTCTAGTTCTGCAATCTTATTCAATGTCCTTTTCTCCAATACAAAATATCCTCTCCATGACCTTTTCATTCGTTCCCGTTACCTACTGGCTCATATTATGTACAACCTTACAAACTATTGTGATTCTTAATTAACAAGACTTCTACATTGATACGAAACCTACACCCAAAAAGTAAACACACCCTGACCCACAAACTAAAACAATTGGAAAAAAGGTTTGAAAGCCCCTTTTTTGTTCTGCTGTAGCTTTGCTCATCCATGATATCATCTCTGTCCCTGAGCCAATCATAAAGCATCACTCTTCTGTTTGCTCTTTTTCCTTGCTTAGGAATGTACACTGCAACACGGTTTTTTAAGTACTAAAAAAGTTTTAAAACTATATTCATTTATGTAATTAAATTTTTATTTTTTATTACATTAAAAAAATTTATTTTTTAATTTATATTTTTATAGTCACGTGATCACGTTATATACGATATAAATAAAAATATAAATTAATATTAAATTTGAAAATTATCAATTTGTCGTTAAGGTTAGAGGCTTGTATAAGGATAGATCAAATGATAAGAGTTTCTTTATATGTAATAAAAAATAAATATTTAATTGTATAATTCAAGGGTTTTTGTTTTAATGAATAAAACATTGCAAGAAGATCTGGGAATTGGACTCAATACCAGAGAACATTGGATTGGGCCTTTTCTGAACCATGGGTTTATTGGACGTAACAAAACCTAGATCCAAATATGAACCTAAGAAATCAAGCTAATGAGCTCAAGACAGGCCTTAACCTCAAGCCCATGACGCCTGATAGGCCTTGACCTCAACCGACATTGAGTCCATTAAACTTTTATTTTTTATTTTTTTTTGTGTTAAACGAGGAATGGATGTGTTTTTGTTTTACTAGCTATCTTTACTGCTTTAGAATAAGACACGTTTGCCTCTGGTTGCCCCCAAAAGCCGGTGTCCTGAGATTCGTTGCGTCTGGTCCGGTTCGTTAGGGTCCAATTCATCCCTCAACTGAGTAATTTACAGTCAAAATAACATTAAAAGAAAAAATTTCACTGTCTTGGCGAGGAGACTTTGGAACTGAAGCAAAATAAGCTTTTGCGGACCGTTCCCGACAAATAAACGTGAACAAGATACTTACAGTTCACAGAGGCTAAGAATAACCAGAGCTTGAAGATGGATGAAGATCACAGTAACGGCGGCTTTTTGGAGACAGGAAAAGCGGATAGATCGGTGTGGTTAATGAAGTGCCCGGTGGTGGTGGCCAAGTCATGGAAGAGCCACACCGCTTCTTCTTCTTCTTCCGATTCTCAGTCAGTCGCCAAGGTTGTCCTCTCCCTGGATCCTCGCAAACCGGACGACCCTTCTTCTCTCCAGGTGCTCTTAACCACTTTGTTTATAAATTTGTTAGCGGCGCTTTTTATTTTTTATTTTTGTATTTGCTCTTTAGGATAATTTAATTTAATTTAATTTAATTTTAATGGATTAAGGTGTTTAAATCAGCTTTCAATTAGGCTTTTTACTAGGAAAACCCTAGATAGTTGTGATTAGAGAATAATTACTTCGAAGATAACAAGATTATTATCCATGAATTTTGCAACCTGAACGCATAATTACAGTTATGGATATGTCCATTTCCTTATTAATCATGAATTCGCCCTTAAATCATTTTTAAGTGGAAAATTATAGTAGTAAAAGATTTCTCTATAATTGATTGTATAAGCTAGCAAGGAAGAGATTTGGTTACATGCTTGTTATCAGTTTGCATTATAATGATTTTGTCGTTTTCTTCTTTCTTATGAGTTTATCGATTGATGATCAGTTTACTATGGAGTTGGCTGGATCCGAGACTGGAAATATACCGAAAAATTACTCTTTAAATATGTTTAAAGACTTTGTTCCTATGTGTGTCTTTTCTGAATCAAGTCAAGGTAAGGATTATGGTTAATTGCTTCTTAGCTTCTCAAGTTTGCATGTATCTAATGCTGTTCTTTTTCTTAATTCTGCTAATCTAACATTAGCTTTCCATTGTGACTTTGAACAGTGACTTGAAGTAGAGATTGCTCCTTGAATTGATTTTCCTGTGAAAACTGCGTTTGACATTTCTCTTACTTTCGTGATTTTATTAATGTGTTGTTCTTTACATGGTGCACTTGCTGTAGTATAGCAAGGTTGGTTTAACTCTGTGTAATGTGCACATTAAGAATCAATTTTCTTGTCCACAACTTTATTGAGGGGAATATTTTATTACTAAATTTGTCAGGGGAAATCTTATATATACCCCTAAAACGGTTATTGAGTGTTTTGTAGAATTTTTCTTTTAATTAGCATAATGAATGTGAATCACAAGGAGCTTTTCAAGAGTTTAAGTTGGAGTTTATTCTAGGAGAGCAACTCTTTCCTAAAATGAATTATGCTAGTGAACACCGATGCAAGCAAGGGTGTGGGACCAGACATGGGCTATGCATAGAAGGTTACTTTACATATCTATCAGGAATCATTAATAATCCTTAACTTTGGCATGCTATGTTGCATAGAAGTAGCTATTGCATTTTCCTCTTAACTTATGCACCATGTCTATGTATGGTTGTGATAACTTCTGTGTTAATGTCTAACGTCTCTCTATCTTTGGAGAGCGGTTGGGAGAATTGCGTCTGTGCTTTTGTTTGTGACCTCTGCTCTATCTTGGTTCTTTTCATTACAGGTAGGGTTGCAATGGAAGGAAAGGTTGAACATAAATTTGACATGAAACCACATGAGGAAAACCTCGAGGAGTATGGGAGGCTGTGTCGTGAAAGGACAAATAAGTCCATGATCAAGAATCGACAAATACAGGTAGGTCGGTTACTGTGCATTGCTTTGGCTAAGGTATATTTGTTTAAATGTTTTATGATGCCAAATATCTTATTTATGTGTCCTTGGTCCATTTTAAGGTTATTGATAATGATCGTGGAGTGCACATGAGGCCAATGCCTGGAATGGTTGGCTTAATTTCATCCAACACCAAGGTACTTGGAGACGTGGTCTCCAAAGAATGATATTTGCGAATTTTTTGCTCTTTAAATACATTAGTATTGGGTTGGAAGAATACATTGAAACTTCTTATTGTCAATGGTCTCTAAGCAGGATAAGAAGAAAGCAGCGCCAGTTAAACAAACAGAAATGAAGAGAACCAGACGGGATCGTGGAGAGTTGGAGGATATAATGTTCAAGCTGTTTGAAAGACAACCAAATTGGGCTTTAAAGCAACTTGTCCAAGAGACTGATCAGCCTGCTGTAAGCCTCTGTTTCTTCTTCCTCTTTCCAAGTGATATATCTTATCATTTATAATCATGACTCGAGTGTTTTTTTTTTTTGAAAAATGACTTAAGTGTTTTTTGCTGCACTATACAATTTGACCAGTATCTTGAAAATTGCAATTTGCTTTTAAAATTAAACAGGAGTTCTTGGCAAGAATTTGAAATGACCTATGTGTTTCAGCTTGATAGAAGTCGTAAACTTCTCTTTTTGATGGTTGATATTCTGTAGCTCTTGTTTTTACCTTATGCAGTTAGCTGATAATTCATGTGTTTGAAATTGTTTTTGTTTACCTTCGTTGCAGCAATTCCTGAAAGAGATACTGAATGAGCTTTGTGTGTACAACAAGAGGGGCACCAACCAAGGAACTTATGAGCTTAAGCCAGAATATAAAAAATCGGTCGAGGACACAGGAGCTGAATAGCTCATATCTAGCTGTAATTTATTGTTTCTTTTTCTCTCCCTTTTTTTCTTAAATTAATGGGGCCAAGTCTGAAAGAACCCTCATGAAGAGGATAGAGAGAAAAATCAGCTAAAGATACAGTGATTTTAACCAAGGAATCAAGGGACAACACTAAACGTGTTCGGGGAAGGGAAACTTATCCGCACCTGGACCTTTGAAGTCCACGTGGTGCAATTTAAACCATCTTTGATAATATCTGAGTAGGGGTCTAGGGGGAAAAATATGTCTAAATCAAAATATAATCTCAAAGCCTGATCAATAAAAAGAAAATATCTATTGTGATACGTATATTATGTGTATTTGCACTTTGATGCTCCTTGCATAACAACTATGGTTAGATTGTTCATTCTTTTAACTAGTTTACAAGAGTAGTTACTTACGTTTCATGTGATTCTCTTTACCTTCCTCTCTCCTATCTGGTATAATTCTTCAAATTCTGTGAGATAGCTGGATACGCATATGGATATATAGAGTGCAGGTGCTGATCTCTTATAATGTTATATTGGTTTAGCAAGGCACTTTGAGTATACAGTAATTGATTGTGGAATGTTACTTCGCCTATGCCATAGTGTTGCTTTAGTTTGATCACGATGTGTTTGTGCTTTATATCATTAGCTTCACACCAAAATGGACAGATTATGTTGAGATCAAATAGATTGGAACGGCACTGGCATTAGAAAGCAATCCTAATGGCTTGGAGGGGGAAAACTGGAGGAAATTATTGAATAGTTTCTCAATGCTTTCTTTACTATGGAATTTAGTTTGTTTTGGATAAATCTTTCATGTTCAAGTCTGGAACAAATTCCCCAAAGACCGGCGTGGTAGAACTCATGGCTAGCAGCCATCTGCCGATCGGCTCGATTGGTTTTAGCGTAGCCTGAGGGGCTATCAGGTATAGTTGTTCTACTTACTTTATTGTGGTGCTTCAGGGCCCACTTATGGGCATCCTTTCCACTGTCAGAAATTTTCTTTTCCAGGAAACGAACGGAAAGGAAGAAGGAAAGAAGTTCCATTCTGAAACCGATTATTGCCCAAAATTTTGGTGCAGATCTACAACTTTTGTTCACCTCTTCACCGTGCATTAAATTTTTCCCACCATTGTTCATTCTGGCTTCTTTGGGTCCTTCAACTTTTATGTCAAATATTAGACAGCATAACATTGAATAAGCTCGAAACAATGGTGAAGAGTCTTATGATACATTGAAGAAGACTCGAGCAGAAGAAGGAAACAGGGAATTGGGGAAAAAAGAACAGAGCTGTACGCACCGTTTTTGAAGAAAGCAAAGAGGAAGACCTTGAAATAAAATCAAACGTTGCGTTTTAGCTAATAAGCTACAAATTTCTGTTATGTTAGTTAATCGTTGTAATTATTAGCATTTTTCTTCTTATTTTTTAACTCTTTAAACACTGTATATAAGCAGCCTCTCTACCGTCTATTCAAGAACAATGCATTCTTGAATAGAGATTTAAAGGAGGAGGTGTACATGGACATACCACCAGGATATGAGGTCCAGGGGGAGTATCCAAAGACTGTGAAATTGGTCTGCAAACTTTATAAGTCACTATATGGCTTCAAGCAGGCATCCAGAGAGAGGCATGCCAAAATCACATCTTTAATTGTACAATATGGCTTTATTCAGTCCAATACAGATCACTCACTGTTCACTATGAAGACAAATAATGGTGAGTTCATTACACTTTTATTGTATGTAGATGACATACTAATAGGGAGCACTTCAAAACAAGCTACAGATGATGTGAAATTGTTCCTAAGTTCACATTTTAAGTTCAATGATTTAGGAACAGTCAAATATTTTCTCGGGTTAGAAATAGCAAGATCTCCTAAAGGTATCTCCATATCACAAAGGAAATATACTTTGGATCTCTTAGAAGAGCATGGCTTGTTTGGTGCAAAACCAGTCTCCACTCCTATTGACCATAATCAGAAGTTAGTCAAGGCTCAAGATGAAGAGAAGCTTATCAATCCAACAAATTACAGACAATTAGTTAGGCAGTTACTGTACCTCACATTCAGCAGACTAGACATAGCATATGCAATCTAGGAATTATCACAGTTCATGGACAATCCTGGTCTTGAACACATGACTGCAGCTCACAGGGTGCTAAAATATTTGAAAGGGTCACCTAGTCAAGGTATCCTAGTGAAGTCAGAATCGAATTTAATGATTGTGGCATATTGTGATAGTGATTGGGCAGGTTGTCCTGATTCTAGGAAGTCAATCACAGGATACAATGTGTTCATTGGGAATTCTTTAGTGACATGGAAATCTAAGAAACAATTAGTGGTGTCTCGAAGCTCAGTAGACGCTGAGTACAGAGCAATGGCATCGGCTAGTTGTGAAATTATTTGGTTGAAACATCTTCTAGCAGATTTTGGAATCAAGCATAAAGATGCAGTGGTACTCTACTCAGACAGCCAGTCAGCCATTCACGTCAACAAGAATTCGGTCTTCCATGAGAGGACCAAACATATAGAGATGGACTACCCCTTTATTAGAGAGAAAGTGATTGAAGGTACAATCAAACCGGTATAATCAAACTGGTACATATTTCAACTAATTTACAGCTAGTTGATTTATTCATTAAAGCTTTACAACCAAGGCAGTTCCACAATCTTTTGAACAATATGAATGTTCACAACATTCACATATAATCTTGAGGGGGAGTATTGGACAGCGTAACATTGAATAAGCTCGAAACAATGGTGAAGAGTCCTGTGATACATTGAAGAAGACTCGACCAGAAAAAGGAAACAGGGAATTTGGGAATAAAAGAATAGGGCTGTATGCACCGTTTTTGAAGAAAACAAGAGGTAGACCTTGAAATAAAATGAAATGCTGCATTTTAGCTAATAAATTTTAAATTTCTGTTATGTTAGTTAATCGTTGTAATTATTAGCTCCTTTCTTCTTATTTTTTAACTCTTTAAACACTGTATATAAACAGCCTCTTTAGGTATTCTTCAATGAGAAAATCCTGGGATAATTTTCTTCCCAAAACAATGAGCTGTCTGTTGCTTTCTTCCTTCCAGCTATTTCCTGACATCAAACATAAGCAAGCAGACAATTGTGGTTAGAAGTCAAACTTTTGCCCAAAAAATGTACAAAGGTTTCAATTAGCGATCATTGACACATTAATTGCTGTCCATGATTCAGTTGGTAACATTATGAACCAAAACCCAAAGTCTTCATTAAATTCCAACGTTTTGAGAATGTTGGCCCGTATAAAGCAGGCAAAAGTTGAATCCCAAGTCCCTAGAACCGCAGCAACCCAAGAAAGGTTAAGCATCTTGCATCATCTCTGTTAGATCAATCAAGACTTTGTTAACAAGATATGGCCATGACATAACTAGTAACAAGGGATCCCTTGCCCTAAAAGTATTAACTATTGTAATGTAGAATGAAACCCTTGTTAATTCAAATTCAATAGATAGATAGCCACCATTTTATACTATATGATGTTATTGCAACATTTCTTCGAAACAATCATTTTGCATATCTTCTATGCTTAATATAGCGTTCACATCAATCAATTGTTAATGATTTTTTTCTTCTTCTTTCAATTCCACCATTCTATTGTTCGTTGCGTGTTATAATTGCTGATTACAGATTTCGATCTCCACCCAATATGCTTGCAGAGGATGGAATGATCATGTTATGTAGCCTCATGCTATTAGCTTGGCCATGGCCAAGAGCTTCAAAAGCAAATGGATGCTAAGGTCACATGGATTACAGTAACAATATTACAGCGATGAGGTTGAGGGGAATTGGGGTTTGAAAGCTGGGAAAAGTGAAACTTCAGTGCTGATCATACGGCCAAGCATATGAATTTCTCCCCATGGGCAGGTTCATACTGCTTCTATAGAATTAAAACGAAAGAAAAGTGTGCTATGTGAAGAATATGCATGTATGATTAAAGTTCTTTCAAATCGCACCTAACTAATTTCATTTTTGGGGCTTGAAGCAAAAATTTGGGAGCTTAAAGGCTCTTAACAACCGGGTATCAGTTCGTTTATTGCATGGTTTTCGTTGTGAAAAGACTGATCATGCCTCAAGGTCGTAATCGATGCTAAAGACGTGTCACCGAAAATGCCAAGAAAATTTGAGTGGGAATTTGACCCGCAACATCGTGCCTGGAAATGAGCCCTTGTAGAGAGCGAATGGCCACCGGTGTGTCGCCCACTGATTCATCTTGTCAGACCCACGCGAACCCAAAGATGATGAGGGATCTTGAAAATGACCAACTAGGAATCTTCTTTGTCAGCTTGGAAAAATTTCCCATAACATCTTTTGTGCAAAAGATTCCATTACCATCTTCTCAATAAATGTGAGCGATTGAGCATGGGTACCGATCAACTTGACTTGGAACTTTTATTTGGTATTGATGGGGCTTGGGGTGCCCCATTGAAGGGACCCTTTCTTTCACCATAGTGCAACTTAAAGAGAATGGTAATGGAGACTGTGTCACTCCCATGACCGTGGATGCTAAAAGTGGGAACCCCATAACCAACGGAACACAGAGAGAGGCTCCAAGAGTCAAAGATGGTTTGAGTAGGAATATGGAAGCTACGGCATCGCCACCATATCTTCTTGGATCAAAATCACCTTTGTATAAATATATGATTCATGTCTATCCATACATACAAATTATAACGAATTGTCTATTTCTTCTTCTGTCTTCTTGTGCTTTCGGATTTCGGCTCACCTTCTATCCATTGTGTGCTTTTTCTTTTGAATGTCAACGAATTTAGAACGAAAATTGTTCACCCAGATGAATCTCAGCTTCTTTAACGGCATTATAACGTAGCACATAAACCTTTTTCACGCGATATACTAGACTTTGCTAGCCCATCTGCTGGGTGATTCATCTCTTATGGAGTATGCACAAGGGATAGACTTCTACAACTGCTTTTACAGGCTTCAATACAGTTTTACGATATGGATCAATTTCAAGAAACAAGAGAACGATTTGTAGCCCGTAGTATATATGTGCTTGTAGAATCACTCTTTAACATTAAGATAATGTCTATTATGAGTTTAAATTAAGTTTGTAAGACCAATAAAACTATGATCATATATATATATCAAATTATTAATCTGCACATTATATGTATTGAATAACGAATTACAATTTTTCAATTTATTTCAAAAATTTTGAATAGTCCTAAACGTATGTAAGAGTTACGACAGTACCGTAAATTTTCATGCAAAAATTCACTCTTGCCGTATAAAAAGTGTGCCTCACGTTCCTAGCTATATGCATAATTAGTTGAATCGAAGACATCAAACTTGTGCTTTCTGAGCAATGAGCAACAGCATTCACATGCCCAGGCATTTTTGATGTCTGTTGCTTTGGCCTCGGGAT